TCCCCTTCCCTGACTGATTCCACTGGAATATGTCTGGCACCTGTAGTAACAAATTTCAAAAACTTACTGGCTCTTAGTCCAGTGGCAGAAGCAAGATTAATTTGATGTCTTGATAAATCCCATTGTTTCAGTTTATTTACATGCTACAGCCAACTTTCTGCTGCCTGAGTTAGCCAGGGTTAGTGTGGTGTTAAGGTCAGAGATACAAAGTAGGGACACAGATGTACAGTCACATCCCAGTTAGTGCTTATTGTTAATTTTTTAGAGACTACACAGACTTTTTATGGAATAAAAATTCTGGTAAGGAAAAAAAAGACAACAAAAAAAAATAAAACAAACATGGAGAGAACAATTAATAAAAATGAATAATTCAATTACATTTTACACTGGGATCTGTAGACTTTTCTCAGGTTTTGCCTTTCAGGATTTTCTTTGCACTTGTAAGGAAAATAGCACTTAGATTATCCTGACTTTTAACACAGGGGAAAAGCACGACAGAGATTTGTCTCTCAGTGATAAAACCAGCAAAAATAGAACATGTAGGATAACCCTGACTTTGAAAAGCATCAGTAAAAAGCCCCCCAAGCTCCATGAACATGTTGCAGACTGCACATGTCACATAACTATGGACTAGGAGTTCTTTGCCTGAGGCTCCCACATTTAACAAAGGGAAACACTGCATTCAACAAAAGATGCTATTCTAGTTATGTGCCCTTTTACCCTGTCAGAGAAACAGCTGGTATCATAAAGTCACAGCTAATTTGTATCATGTCTGCACTAACAGTCAGATTTAGTTTGTATCAAACTTTCAAAGTTGGACTTAATACCAGTTGATGGATGACAGCTTTTCTTGCCTCCCCCCTTCTCTAAACATATTTAAACATTGCCTCCCACATAAAAAAAAAGCCCTCCCAATATTCAAAATACAAACAGAGTCTTCAACATGTTCACATAACCAATATTTATGTTAAATATAAATGGTTAAAACTAGCAAATTTAAAAAATCCTGAAGAAGGGTGAGAATACTATTCCAGCAGTTCAGTGACAAATAAATAGTGCTGTAAGACAGACATGTGGGTACCAAGTGTAACAGAAAAGAATTTTCTCCTAAGTAAGAGCAGAAAAAAGCCCTGCCTCAGGTAATCTCTTCAAGTTTGGGGTATCTGTTCTCCTGAAAAAATTCCAGTCTGCCTGCAGAGACTGTAAGGGGTTTTTTTCAAGGTCAGCACTCAACAATTTAGGGAAGACCAATTTCACTTATATTTTTAGGAGACCTGTTTCTCATTTAGGCTATTAAATGTCATCTACTTTCATTTTAAGACCCCTGTAGCAGAATGCCTTGACTGTGTAAAGGGACTCCAGTGGAAGTGAGAGGCCAAAACCTCAACAGTTCCAAACCCACAGCGCTCACGTGAGGAAAAGTTGCAAAAAAAATCAGGATTTTGTTGGAAAACAGGCATGGGGAACTTCCAGAGATTGGGGGGTTCAAGCTCAGTTCATATCAACATCTAACAATGCTGCTGTGCTTCTGAGGTGACCCCACCACAACACCTGAGCATACAACACGAGCTGCAGACAAGATACTCTTTTAAAATTTCACCTGCTTCTCACTTCCACATTATATAGAAAATTTTGGGCCAAATTTTGGGTATATTTGCATTTACCATGATCTGAAAACATCAGCTTAACTGTAGGCATGGGAAATCTGTGTAATGCTGCACAGAATAATTATTATCAGGGCTCTGAATAATTGGCCCTGTTTATCAGGGAGAGGTTGGTCTGCTCTGTGAAGTTACACACACCAAGCCAAAAATGGCCCTGGGAAGTTGAAAGCAGCAGCAGAGATGCAGCTTTAAAGTGCTTTAAAGGAGACTTTATTGTGATGGAGCTGAGAAGGAGCAGTTGTCAATGAAGACAGAGGAACTCCAGCTCCCAGCCTCTCTCTCCCTCAGCACATGTATTTCCTGACTTAAGAAGGGCAATACTACACAAAGACACAGCTTCTGCTGCCTGATGGACTCCCTGCCAGTGAGCAGAGCCAAAGTGCAGCATGCTCCTGCCACCTCCTCTCCAGTGAGCTCTGTCTGCTCCCTACCTGCTGAGAAAATGCAAATAATCAACTCCACGCCCTTCGCTCCGAGCACAGCAGTGATTCTGCCCTTACATATGATCTTTCCGCTTGTTCAGAATTTTTTTAGTATTTTTTCCTTCCTCCTAAATGTTCTTTAACCTCTGTCTGACAGGGCATGGTTTATCAGAAGTAGATTTATCTTCAGCTACTCAGGGTGTCTGTTTTACAATTCCTAGGTGTTGTAATTCCTGGGAAATAAAAATGTTCTTCATCCAAAACTCCCCCAACAAAGGCTTGAAAGTAATGCAGAACTGCAAAACAGCAAGCAGGGCAGAGAACAGCCTGCAACAATGAGTCACAACAGGTTTACTTCCTTGGGCTCACCCTTAAATGAAGAATAACTTTCTATATCTAAATGAAGTTTTAGCTTTGTTTGCAGCCACTCCAAACAGTTGCAACACCTCCCCAGCGACCCAACACAACACAAAACCCACCAGGCTCTCATCTCTCACAAAAGAGCTTTCCCAAAAAGTGGCCCAGCTGTACACAGAGCTCACCTGAGGTCCCACAAGGGAAACCAGGGCTAGATTGAGTCCTGCCCCTCCTTTTCCAAGTGGCAGAGAGGATGGATGAGAGAAGGAAGACCCTGTGTCCATCTAACTTTACCCCATCACAGTAAAACCATAGAAAACATCTTCAGAGACTCTTACAGAAATGCTTTCAGGCTTGATTATTTAGGAGAAAAGCTGACCAAACCCATTCTTGCACAATGTTTCCTAATGGCAAACATCTTTCAACAAAACAAACATTTCCAAGGGAAAATAAAAAGCAGTCATCCCTATCCAGTAACTCTGAACCTTAACCTTTGAGGGTAGCACTTGTTTTTGAAAGTAATTCATATAAGCACATCAGATTGCCTTCCAGAATCAGGTTTGAGTGTACTCAAGAACTAACAGAAGTCTTAACAGGACTGTCATGATAATACTAAACTGTTACTGCATTTTATGTTCAGATAAAGAGATGCACCTCATTTCCAGTACAGAGATAATGCTGTTTTTTCCCCTTTCCAAATGAGTGTATTGGTCCACAACATTTGCTTTAATGATTTTCTGAAGGCAACTAATAACATGGTATTATCATTCACATCCCCTAAAACCCATCCCCCTGTTCAGTCAGCTTTGTCATGTGAAAATGGAGGTTAAGTATGGAAAATATGAGCAGATTTAGCCTTTACTTCTTTGTGACTGAATTCTTTAGTCACCTTGACAAGGGCTGGGCACCAGAGGGACGCCAGCATGAGAGAGGTGACACTTACCCTGCACCCTACACTTGGAGAAGCTGGCTGAGTCCCTGGGGATGGATTTTCAGATGCAATTTATGAACCAAAATAAGGAGCCAGCCCCAGCTCAATTTTCAGGAACTAAAAACTTCTTCTTCTTCTTCTTCTTCTTTTTCTTTTTCCTCTGCCCTCTTTCAACACCACAGCCTGCATGCTCAGACCTGCCTACAAATACAACTCCAGCTGCTGAGGTGTCAGAAACACTCTGGAGGGCAGTCACTGCTCTCTGAATATCCAATCCTTAGCACAGGGAAAAAGGACTTACACTGATGATCCCACTTGCTTTTGGACAGCACGGCCTTCTTAGCCTGGTTTCATATTTTTAAGGAATTTCAATACCTCATAAACGCTCTACTCGTGGAAGCATGTGGGAACTTAAAGCTAGACATCTCGTGGGAAAGAAGTGTTCCATGGGAAATTTTAGAACATTTAGGCTGGTTCTGAATCAAAAAGAGATCCTAATTTCGAAACACCAGCATTTCCTATGAAATTCCAGATTGCATCTGGCTTCAGTTTTAAATAGTTCCCCCCAACAAAAGGCTCGAAAGTAACGCAGAACCGCAAAACAAGAAGCGGGGCAGAGAACAGCCTGCAACGATCACCAGCCCATTCAAAACCTCCTCACAAAGAAGTGTAGGCAAAGCTAAATTTGCCCCCCCAAAAGATGATGACAAAGCCAGCTGAAATGTGCCCAGCAATGCTGGTGGGGAGGGAAGGCAATGCGAGCAGCATCCGGCCTGCTGCAGTGTGTGTGTGCCTCCTCCTCCACACTGCTCTTGCCAAAAAGAGGGGACAGAGGAGGCTCAGGCACAGAGAAAACGTGGTCCCCAACCAGTGACAAGCAGCTCTTTGTACCCTGAACTGACTGAAGATGCTGGAGCAATAATATTTCTGAGCCATCATTCTGCTGTCACAGGCACGGCCTAAACTCCGAGCCAGTCCAGAGTTTGTCTCCAGCCTGGAATTTCCGTATATTGAGGGGCTAAAGTTTACACACATTATAAACACTTCCTTTAAATGGTTTGTGAGCCCTCACTTGTTCTGGCAGTGAAAGAACAATATTTGTAAAAAAAAAATGTCTAAGTGTTCCATGCTGTAAATAGTCAGTAAACAGTTACTTGGTCTCTCACGTTCTTCTCAGAGCCTGCCTGCTCTAAAAAGAAGACACAACAGGATAGCAGCACATCAGCATATGATCACAACACAAGTAATTATGATTTAAACCCCCCCCACTGCAAGAAAAAACTTGCTGAAAACTAGTGGAGAAACAGGACTTCCAAAAGTACATCGTACATCGACAAAATGATTACTGTAAAACACAAAGATTTTGAGTTGAAGGCAAAATTCCACATGAAATGCTTTAAATCTACTATCAGTTCTGGACAAAATAATCACTGGTGTCAGTGACACCAGAGGGACAAGAGCCAAGGGTCTGCTGCAGGGTTCTCCACTGATTTTCAGAGGAATTTGGATCAGCCTCCAAAGAAATAAGAAAACACACACAAAAACAAACAAAAAAAAAGCCTCAAATAAACCCCCCTGAATACCACAGGAGAGGAAGTCTGAGGTAACTTCTTTGATCATACTCACAGGAAGACAATCAGAGGAAATATTCTGAGCTTTTCAGTAACAAACCAGCTGCTTGATGGATCAAAATGATGACTCCAGAAAAACAAGGTGATACCTATACAAAAACAGAAAATAAAGAACCTTATTTAGCAAAGACATAATTACTCTGCATTCTTCATTCTTCTTTGGTAAAGTCTTCTTTAATGACACTCCTGGAAAGTTGGGGTTTTTTTAGGGTACTGAACAAAACTTAAAAAGTTTTTAAGACACCAAAAAAACCCACTGTGAAAAGCTCTAGAAATTTGAATTTGCCAAGGAGATTTTGATTTCCTGAGATCTCTTAACCAAGTCACTCACTAAAACATCTTTAAGAAGTGAAGCTGATACAGGCTCTTGTTATTAGAACAAAATGAAACATATTGTCTGGCCAGCAGTGAATTCTCACAGCAGAACCAGGTTTCCAGCACATCCCCCCTGAGGATATAGGATATTCCCTGCTTTATAAAACAAGTTCAAAAGAGAACTCCAAAAGCAGATAAACAGTAAGATGACAGTCTGTAGATGATACAAAACTGTTCAGTTTAATAAAACTTAGAAGTCTACTAATTGGGGAAAGAGTTCATAGTAACGAATTTCTAGAGGCAAAATGAAATCATCATTAAAAAAGTAAAGGTACAGGAGAAAAAAAAACCAAAGACAGGCTCTGCATTCAGGTACCTCTTTGGTAGTATACAGACACATCAGAGTAAAAATAAAAACTTTGCTTTTCTCTTTTTTTTTCCTTTTTTTTGCTTTCTTCAGAGAGCCTCTCATGGTCCTTTCTCTTTAGAACCAAGGACCTTCATACTGAACATCCTGCTGCCAACAGAGGAAATGGATTATTTAAAAATCAACCTAATTTCAGTTATTTTCAGATAATAGCATGGGGTTGGTACTTGCATTCATTTCTGGTTATTCACTGGAAACTCAGGCTTTTGAGGGCTCAGTAAAAATGACTGCTCTGTAATTTCAACAACAATTTTACCGTCTGATCTCAAGGTTTTAAGACACCTGTCACTGATTCAGATTATTGCAAATACTGGGGTGGCCAAAGCCAAGAATTTAATCCAATGTATTAGGAGTTTGAGTATTAGATTCAAGAGATCTCAACCCCCACTCGATGCTGAGCATTACTGTGCATATACCACATAAGAAAAAAGAACAAGGTGAGAAGACATCCCTGATCACCAGGGTGTGAAAAGAACAACCAAGAGCTTTAAATCTCCTTCCTCTCCCTGGTTACACCTGCAAGAGCAGACCAGAGTTCCAGCTCATGAATAACAAGGCCCTTCCAGGTCACTGAATTAATTCCAGCTTTTCCACTAAATTGAAAATCTTACTTTGCTCATTTCTATTGTTTAGTGTTCCCCACTTGACTCTCAGCAGGAATAACTTCAAGACATTCAGATCATGCTTTTAGAAAATCCTGGGTCTAGAAGTCCTTTTTGGTTTGAAACCACTTGGTCTCTTTCAAACTCTTCAGCATTTTCAAAATGGAAACAACCCCCCAAAAATATTTTAATTTTCTTTCCCAAAGTCATGAAGAGCTTTTCTGCTCTTCTCCTTGTATTTGCTCTGTTCTAAACCAACACTTTTCTGAGTCAAGCTCGACATAATTTTTTTAGAGAATCCTGGGTCTAGAAGTCCTGTTTGGCTTGAAACCATTTGGTCTCCTTTAAAATATCCAAATATTCTTCAATATTTTTTAAATGCTTTAATTTTTTTTTAAAAACAACCCCCATAAACATTTTCATCTTCTTTCCCACAGTCATGAAGACCTTTTCCTGTGTTCTCCTTGTATTTGCTCTGTTCTAAACCAATGTTTTTCTGAGTCAAGCTCGACATAATTTGTGATATCAACAAAATGAAATATTCTCTCACAGTGTTTGCCTTCCCAAAGAGCTTCTATCTCACCACAACTCCATTGTAAGCTAACTGTGAAGGGTTAAAAACTATTTAACAGAGAGGTAATTTCCAGACAACTTCAGCTTGACGGAAGCTCAGGCCCAGGTCAAAAACCAGACTCCACAAATCCAAACCCTGCAACCCAACAAACATCCCTCAGGTTTGGACACACTTTGTGCTGTAAGCTTCAGTAGTAAAATTGTCACCATTTTTACTGATTCTTCAGTCCTTCGAATTCCCCTGACCATAAACCTTGGGTTCATGTTCTGGTGTCATTGTGAAATGGCATTAACAGCATCCCAGACATTGGCACACACCCAGCACTCCATTTCCAGCTCACATGGACACTGGATTCCCAGATAACACAGGACAGTCACCATTAAATACAATTTTAGCAAGAGGAATGCTTTTCTCAGAAGCTCTTAAAAATGCTTGATCAGAGGCACTTTGTGGCTTATGAAACTCAGGAGTTGCTGCTCTCTTGATTATAGAACCTGGGGAAATCAAATCACATCCAAGGTCATTCAGCAGTTAACCTGTGACACTCAAATGTGGGTTGGGGAGGGTTATTAAAAATATATATTTTTATATATTTTTTTGCATGCCCACACAAAGAAAAGCATGTTTTCACTCCCTTCTGCTCTGTTAATTAATTGGATTCCATTCCACCTGGTAGCTTTGAATGGAAATTTATGGAGCCCAGTTATCAAACTCTGTGTTGCAGGTATTCCACTTTATCCAACAGATCCCAGCAGTGATCAATATCAGATGTTCAGAGTAGAAGAGAGGGACAGGGAAAGCACATAATAATAATGCTTCCCACAAATACTCTACAGCAGCTTGTGACTTCCAGAATGTCTGAGTCAAAGGTGGAATCCACACATTAAATTACATCAGTAGGGGAGAGTGGGGCCATAAAGAATAGTTGAAAAGTGCATTTGAACATTCTTTGTGACAAAGGAAATAACCCAGCCCAAAGGACTGATCCTCTGGTCTGTAAATATAGCAAATATTTCACAGAAGCACAGGACAGCTCAGGTTAGATGACACCTCTGGAGATCACCTGGTCCAAGTCCTGCTCCAAGCAGGCTGCCCCAGCACCATGTCCACTTGGGGTTTGACTGATTCCAAGGATGGAGACACCACAGCCTCCCTTGGAAATCTGTTCCAGTGTTGATCTCTCACAGGAATAAAGTCCTCCCCTACGTTTAAAAGGAATTTTTAAATTTCAATTTCTGTCCTTTTCCTCCTGTTCTTTCACTGGCACCTTTATGAAAGCTCTGGTTTGGTTGTTTTTGTTGTCACCTGTCCCCACTCCCATGGTGACAGAGTCACAGTGTGTGACAGCCACAGAGTGGCTGTTAAGCTTGAATCTCGTCCCAGTTACAGCCAGGAATTTTTTTATCCATAGATTTCATTATTGGCTGTTGTGCAAATTATTTCTTTTCCCTCAAGTAACGAAAATGACAGCAGAAAAACACCTTTTTTAAAGAAATAGTCTAGGCAAAGTATTTCTTTGAATAGCCACTTCTTACAGAACTACTTTTCTCCTTTTGATTTTTATGTTGTCACTGTTGTCATGCAGTTCCTTTATTTGGGAAGATATTACAGAGGGACCACTTGAAACTTTTCCTTGGGCATGCCACATGCAAGAAGAAGACTTTTCAATACAGGATTTGGCAAACAAGGGCTGCCAGCAGGAGAGGGGACAAGAAGCCTCAGACTCATCCATCAAAACAGGTGCCCAAGGAATTTGTTTTCCAGCATGACCTAGAAAGGGGAGGGGTGTGGACACCTGTGAGCTGCTCACCCAGACACTTCCATGCAGCTCATCAGTACAAAATGACAGGTCAGAGGAAATAAAAACACAATATACTTTTAAATTATAATATGTTTTTATATTTATTTATATTTATATATATTTATATGTATATATTTGTTTACATTTATATATTTATTTATATTTATATTTATATTTATATTTATATTTATATTTATATTTATATATATATATATATTAAATAAATATAAATATAAATATAAATATAAATATAAATATAAATATAAATATAAATATAAATATAAATATAAATATAAATACGGGGTTTCATTCTGCACATCCTGGCGTGGAGCAGGAAAGAAAGCTAAGTGCTTCCTGAGGTTAAACACGGCCCAAAGGAGGACTAGGGATGCCTCATCCTGAGATCTTTGCATGGAAATTCCTGAAAGTAGAGGCTAACAAGTGAAGTATGTGTGCATCTGGGCAGATGTGGGCTGGAACAGCATCCTTGGCCATGCAAATACAGCACTTGCTTCCTCCTTTGGCCACGTTTGTGCTGCTAAGCAGAAGCCATTTGCTAAACCACACAGCAGTGGCATTCCCATCAGCAGAAAACCAGGCTCTTCCTGCTTTGATCAGCATTACTGACCACAGGAATAAACAGAGGGCTGTGCTCCTCAGATCCACACAGGATCTGCTGCTCTCTCAGGACAGCAGGAACCGGCCAAGCCCGTTCCCTCTGTCCTCGCGTAAACCTCGCTCGCCAACAGAGCAGCAACACGCACAGCAAGGCAAAGACAGCTGAAGGAGAGCACTCCCCTTCCCAAACTGTGTGTTTGGAACAGCAAACTTCTTAACATTTAAAAGCCAAAGCTTGCTCTACCCCTGTTTTTAATCTGGGGATTGAACATAAGCTCCCCTACATCACTGGCAGTGGATGCAGGCGTGTCTGCTGCAGAACGTGCTTCTGAGGGGAACTATTTACTGCTAATAAAAAGTCCCAAATTCCTTGCAAATTCGCTGTCCCTTTCAGAAAAGGGTTCCAGAAGGCTTCGAGCTCCAATCCAAATTGTTAATAATCCATAAAGAATACTGTGTAATAATTCAGAAAATAGTCTCTTCCAACAGACAGTAAGTGGAAACTGCCCGCTTTAAAGCATATTTTGACAGCTGCTAGCATCATTCAACATTTCAAATAAAAGAATCTGCTCAAAAGAAACAGAGCAAGTAAGCTAAAAACTTTGAAACAACAAAAAGTTCTTGTGAAACTCTGATTTTCTCCTCTTCTGTGTCATCTTCAGCTATTGAATGGAAACACAGTGCTGGGATGGGTGGTGGAGGAGAGGGGAATGCAGGGAAAATTCTGTGAGCTGAATCCTTTTCAGGGAAGT